ATTATTATTATTATTATTATTATTATTATTATTATTATTATTATTATTATTATTATTATTATTATTATTATTAATTATTATTAATTATTATTATTAATTATTATTATTATTTATTATTATTATTTATTATTATTATTTATTAGTGTTCCTACCAAATTAAGTGTCGACAGAAATATCCAATTATTTACACCAACTCCATACTCTGATATTCATCCATATGGACAATCAGGACGTGTTGCTGGAAATATCGGTGTATGTTCGCATAATGTCGCCTTGGCATTAATCAAACTCGACAAAATTGATGTAGATGATCTTGTAGTATATGCTGAGGAAAAAAAGCAGATATATAGGGTGAAACCATTTATGCCAAATTGGTGGCCTCAAGATGAGAATGAACAAAAACAAAAATAATGATAAATCATTTAGCTAGAACTTTCAATCATAGTTTTTATTTAAGTATATTAAATAGCCACAGTCTATCGATGACAATAAATTAAATTTATTATATTTCTAAGCAATTTATCAACTTGTCAATAAATTTAAATTGAACAATATAATAGATAATGAGGGCGAGTGATAATAAATAAATTAAGAATAAAAAAGAAATAGTTAATTTACAATATTTATTGTTTTCGTTCTTCGTGACGAGAGCTTACAAAAAGGGTAGAAAGCAAGGAATTTTTTTGTTTTCCTCTTGAACGATTTGAATGACTTGAATGATTTGAAACTGTTTCCGAATAATCGTGATTTGAATCACTTTTATGTTTATGATGATGATGATCATCATCATCAGCATGAGAAGAAAAGAAGGACAACAAACTACCTCCTCTATGATGACGTTTATGATGATGTTGTTGATTTTCACTTTCATCTTCTAGGATGTTTTGGGAGTTATTTTGATTTACGTTATTATTTTTTGCACTTTTGTCTTTTTCTTTTCCGAAAATTGTAGAAACCTGTGCAAAAAACTCTGCAAAACCACTGGATCTTTTGGCCTTTTTCTCCTCTTCCTTTATTACCGTGTTATTACCGTTTGTAATATTTGTCGTTATTGTTGTCGTCGCCGCCGTCGTCTCCTCCGTCATTGCCATTGTGGCAGTAACGGTGGCTGTTTTCGACTCAATTACAATATTTTCATGAATAATTTCTTCGTCTTTTTCTTTTCCTAATAAATTATTATTATTATTATTATTTATCGACTGTTGCTGTTGCTCTGAATGAACATTTAATGAACTGTTCAATTCACTTTTCGCCCCATTTTCTTTTTCGTGATTTGTGGTATCTTTCGTTGTAAACTCTTGGAATTTTTTAAGTGTTTTATTTTCTGCTTTCGTGACAATACGATCAAACTCATCCATTCTCTTAGATGCAACCGTTTCAACATTTTTTATAAACAGGTCAAAATTCATTTTGACGTGAGCCACAAGTTTGGAATGGTATTTATTTTTTAATTTATCTTCAAGTATCTTACTTGGATTAATGATCTCAGTATAGGTGGTATCCAGTCCTTTACCCTTTAAATGTTCTACCAACGCTTCAAAATGTTTGTCTCCTGGTTTATAATGGCCGCTTTTCGGATTTATTTCAAGTAATTTTCCATGATAAACTTTGATTCCCCCAGCTGCACAAATTGCTCCACCAGCAAGAAATGATGAATGATGAAAATGTCCTTTGATTTTTTCATGAACATATAAATTATCTTTACAATCTGTTACATAGATCCACTTGTGTTTTAATTCTCCACCTGAATCGTGACTTATCATTGACATATCGTCCTCTCCTCCCTTTGATCCTACACTTAGAAATGGCGCATCAACATCTTTTTTGTCCGTGCGATTCTTGTCTTTGTTTCCAACACCCAAATCTGGATTTTCTTCATTTGGGGATCCATTTTTTTCCAAGTTACCCGTTAATTCTATCAAGTCATAACCTTTGTCCTGAGCATGCTTTTCTAGATAACTGGTGCTTGGATTTGTATGTACTAATTCACCAGTGGCTTCATAGTATAAAAGACCATCTTTAATAATTACTTTAAGTTCATCTCGTTCCGTTTGCGTGAGATATTTGACTTTTTGTTTGTTTAGTTCTTCACGCGATACTGAAAGACTTAAAGTGGAACCTTCTCCTTCATCTAACCAATAGAAAAAATTTTCAGAAGTTTTAGATTTCAACCATTCATCATGATAAACCTAAAAGTTAATTAATCGATTAAAAATGATCTACACATAAACAAATAAAAGATGTTAATAGATTATTAGGGCAACACACACCTTCAAATTTGCACCATATCGATGATTTTCATCATATATTTCCAGCCAATGCTCGTTATCCAAGATTAACCAAAGAGCTTTTTGATCACTCCCCTATTTTATTCAATCCAATAATAAATAGTTTTAAGGATATTATTAATTTGCTTTCGGATGACAACCACTCTCTTTATTATGCATATTTGTGTATGGAAAAATATTTTTTTTACCTTTCCAATCTGCGCCGCCACTTCTACCAACCCTTGCAATTTGTTTTTCAAATCTGATAATGAAGAATCAGATTCCACCAATTCTTGCATTAAACTTTTCAATTCCAACGATAGATCAGATTTTTCAACAGCTTCAGCTACAACTTGCTTCCATTTTTTAACTATCTCATAATGTGATAAACGTTCACGAGACCTTGCTGATACAATTTTGCCTTCTCTTTCACGTGTTGCTCTGAAAAAATATTTCTAATAAGAAACTTGAGCAAATACATTGAATAACCAAATCTATATCCACTATTTGTATTTACCGGTGATTGCGGTAGACTTTTTGAATGTTCTTGACATGTTGAACATGTTGAACTTGTTGAGCAATAGCAGTTACTTCGTGAAATGTATACCGCCTTTGAATGCCTTCTGGCGGTGTCTCTTCTACGTTATCGCTATTCCGGATGCTAGTTTCCCCTTTATGACGAACGTCCGAAACAGAAGACATGTATTTTTCCAGTCGGGTTGTGTAGAGTTTAAACACGTAAATCGTAACAAGTTCGCTTATATTACTTTTTTAATAGTTCGCCCGATAAGGTTTAAAATTGTTCGGTGTAACAATGATCATGAAAATCAAAATAGAAATAAGACAAAAAAGACAAATTTTGATCGACTTTGTGCGCAGATCAATTCGTTTATTTAATTATGAGACCTTTATTTAAAAGAAGATGATAATAATAATAAAGAATACATTCGTAGTAGAGAAATAAGCATATGAGCAGATGAAATGTCTTTTAGGAAAGATCCATTTTATCGCCATTTTTGAGCATGTTAGAGCTTTTGTTGACGGCTGAATTTTCCGAAGGCTAAAAATCAATAATCATGTATTAAAATTAATAATAAATGAAATGGAATCAAAATAAAGAAGACTGTTTCTATTTTAATTTACTTCGGTAGCCATATATGCATCTAGATCTGCGTCTAGATCATCGTAGGTAACAGGTTTTCTCTGCAAAGCTTTCCGTCGACTATCCGAATTCTTGACGGAATGCGCAGCGCCGCCACCTCGGCCTAATCGAGAACGAAGATCATTACGAGAAGTTTGTTTGCTAACAAATAATTTCAGCCAAAAGAACAATAACGTTAAAATTTTGTAATCAAATTCTTTAAGTCATTTTTATAGACTTACATTGAGCTATTTTGAACATTGCCTAGACGATCAAAGACAGAACCACGGTCTGAATTGGATGATGATCCACGAACTTTTGTATTGGGCTTATTAGATGCTGCGTACTTGATCCTCATCTCTTGACCTTTTATAGTCAATGGATAGATGTTAAAATGTCAAAATGTAGTTTTGATTAAATAATTTCTTCAAAATTCATCATCTACCTTCAAACATTGTTCCGTTATACTTTTTTAAGGCTGCCGCAGCATCTTTAGAATCTTCAAAAATGACATCTGCCACGCCAAGACTTCGTCCAGCCCGATCATAGTGAAGAAACACCTTTTTTATGGCACCTGTTTTCGAGAATAAATCCTATAATTTTTTAAACAAAAAAATTCAAGTTTAATTAATTTGAAACTTGGCATATGCACAGATATTTATGTAATTAACGAATAACCTGAAGATCATCCTGAGTGATTTCATAAAATAAATTTTCCACTAGCAATTTGGGATTACCGTTTTGATTTGAGGTATAACGTGTGGTACTTGAAGGTGAACCGTGTGCGTGTCCGTCTTCATATAGATCGTGCGACCATTGACTGTTTATGTTTCCGCTAGAGAAACGCTGTGAACAAACGTGTCGAGAAGTTTCAGTACATCTCAAAGCTTGTCGTTACTTTTCTGTCTATTCGGCCATATACTTGACGAACAACAGCGAAGCTCGATCGTCAATCTTTTGGCCCAAAGGAAACGGAAGAAGTAGCTGTACCCGCATCGCCCCATGAAGTTTCTAAATAAACCCAATATTCTTCTCAAAAAACAGGCAACCTTGCAAATTATTTCAAAAGTAATGGTACCCACCGAGCGACTATAAGGTGCGGTTCGAGTACGACCTGTTCGATTTGAAGAACCACTTTCCACTGAAAAAGCTTGACTACGGACTGTTCGCCGAGACAAGGCTTTTTGGTTCTTGGTTCTGTTGGTCGTATTGTTGTAATCGTCTAAAGCCATGTCAAATAAGCCGCTCATTGTGTCTGTATTCAGGAACGATAATTTTCTGTGATTCACAGAATTTTTCTTAAATGTCACAGAATTTACAATCATATGTTTCAAATAATAAGTATCACAAAGAATACAAGCAAAAATTAAATTTACTGAATAATACTAAAAAATTCAAATTTATTTATTAATAATATACATTTATTATTGAAAGTATTTTATTAGTTTTCAAAATTCTTGTATGAAATAATACTGATAGATACATACTTACTGTAATTACAAATAGCAATCAAATATTCACAAAACAAAAACAACTATACAGAATAAAAAATTTTCCATAAATCATATAACATTTGTTGATAACACATATTGAATCACCAAAATTCAAACAAAGTGCACTTAATATTCTTATTGAAATTAATTTTAATAAATCAGAAATACTTTATATTTTATCATAATGATAACTTTCTTTTATTTCTTATACTAGAAAATAATAAAGATATTATTAAAATTCTTGATTTAATACAAAATATATATTACTTAGAGATATAATTTTATATAAATAACAAATTAGAAATAGTAATAAAAATAATAGATTAAAAACTCAAAACAATAAATAGTCTGATACAAAAAGATTAGTATATCAGATAAATATTAAGATTATTTTTTCAAAATAAAATTTTAATTCTGTCTTATTTAATTAAGTTATTAGATATTGGAATATTGTTATCTTTTTGGTGCGAGTTCTGAGGTGAGGGCGAGTATTAAACCTAATATTACAAAAACACGTGATAAAAGTGACCACATGTTTAAAATGATGTTTGGAAGAGTCTTTAAAAGGTTTATTAACAAGAAGGTGTCTATTACTATTTCAAAGTTAATCTAAAGGTAGGTAATGATAGT